TGGGAAAAACCCCGAAAATGGGGAAAATGGGAAAAACCCAAAAATGGGGAAAATGGGAAAAACCCGCTGGGAAAATGGGAAAAAACCCACTGCAAAAATCAGGAAAACCCCGCCTGGGGAAATGGGAAAAACACGAAAATCGGGAAAATGGGAAAACCCCAAAAATGGGGAAAATGGGCCTCTGACACCCCCCTGAGTCATCCCCGGTTCCTCTTCCAGGATGGGCTGGGAGGAAAGAGGGGGAGGGGTCTCTGGACTGGGATTTGAGAACCTGGAGAGGGGGATTTGGGAAAAAAGAGGGGTCTCATGGGCTGGGAGATTTGGGATTTGGGATAAAAGAGAGGGAGGGGTCTCTGGATTGGGATTTGGGATTTGGGAGAGGGGGAGGGGTCTCATGGATTGGGAAGGGGGGTCTGGAGATGGGGATTTGGGAGAAAATTCATAGGGGGGGGTCTCTGGACTGGGAAAGGAAAGTGGGAGAGGGGGATTTGGGAGAAAAGAGGGGTCTCGTGGGCTGGGAGATTTGGGATTTGGGATAAAAGAGGGGTTGGGGTCTCGTGGACTGGGAGATTTGGGATTTGGGATAAAAGTGGTGATAAGGGGGTCTCCTGGACTGGGAGATTTGGGATTTGGGAGAAAAGAGGGGGAGGGGTCTCTGGATTGGGATTTGGGATTTGGGAGGAAAGAAAGGGATTGGTCTCTTGGACTGGAAGAGGGGGATTTGGGATAAAAGTGATGTTAGGGGGGTGTCTGGACTGAGAGATTTGGGAGAAAAGAGGGGGAGGGGTCTCTGGGATCATTTGGGATTTGGGGTAAAAGTGGTGATAAGGGGGTCTTGTGTGCTGGGAAATTTGGGATTTGGGGTAAAAGAGGGGGAGAGGTCCCCTGGACTGGGAATGGTGACTGGGATTGGGGAGAGGGGATTTGTGTCTGCTCTGAGGGATTTGGGGCTGTGTTCGTTAATGATCCATTTGGGGCTGTGTTTAATGATTGATTTGGGGTATTGGGGTTGTGTTTAATGATCGATTTGGGGTTGTGTTCATTGATGATCAATTTGGGTATTGGGGCTGTGTTCAATGATTTTAGGGGATTTGGGGCTGTTTAATGATCCTTTTAGGGGATTTGGGGCTGAGTTTAATGATCGATTTGGGGCTGTGTTCATTAATGATCGATTTGGGGCTGTTTAATGATTATTTTAGGGGATTTGGGGCTGTTTAATGATTATTTTAGGGGATTTGGGGCCGAGCAGAGCCTTTGTCCTGCCTGGGGGAGGGCACCAGGCTCTTTGTCCCTTATCAGGGAGTGGTGGCTCCGTCTGCCCTTGGGACACTGCCCCAGGGCCACCTCAGGGACACCTCAGGGCCACTCCCAAAGTGTCCCCTCGTTCCCCCCCAGTGTCACCTCCCGAGGTGTCCCCTCTTTCTGTCCCAGTGCCACCTCCCAGTGCCGGCCCCAAACCCCTGGCGGATCAGGGCTTTAGGATCAGACCAAGCCTACACAATTTTAGGATCAGGCCGACCCTACACAATTCAGGGTGGGTTTAGGATCAGGGGTTTAGGATTGGGGGTTTAGGATCGGGGTTTAGGAGCAGGGATTTAGGATGGGGTTTAGGATAAGGGGATTAGGATCAGGCTGACCCTACACAACTCAGGGTGGGTTTAGGATCAGGGATTAAGGATCAGGGATTTAGGATCGGGATTTAGGATCGGTGATTTAGGATCGGGGGTTTAGGATCAGGGGTTTAGGATTCGGGTTTAGGATCAGGTGTTTAGGATCAGGCTGACCCTACACAATTCAGGGTGGGTTTAGGATCAGGGGTTTAGGATTGGGGGTTTAGGATCGGGGGTTTGGGATCAGGGGTTTAGGATCGGGGTTTAAGATCAGGGATTTAGGATGGGGTTTAGGATGGGGTTTAGGATCGGGAGTTTAGGATCAGGGGTTTAGGATCGGGGTTTAGGATCAGGGATTTAGGATTGGGGTTTAGAATCCAGGGTTTAGGATCAGGGGTTTAGGATTAGGGATTTGGGATCAGGGATTTAGGATGGGATTTGGGATGGGGTTTAGGATCCCATTAACCCTTTCCTCCCCCCAGCACTCGTGTTTCAGTTTCTGGAAGCTCTGGGCATTCACGGGGTTTAGGATGGGGTTTAGGATGGAGTTTAGGATCAGGTTTAGGATGGGGTTTAGGCTCAGGTTTAGGATCCCATTAACCCTATCTCCCCCAGCACTCGTGTTTCAGTTTCCGCAAGCTCTGGGCGTTCACGGGGTTTAGGATCAGGATTTAGGATGGGGTTTAGGATGGGGTTTAGGATGGGGTTTAGGCTGGGGTTTAGGCTCAGGTTTAGGATCCCATTAACCCATTTCTCCCGCAGCACTCGTGTTTCAGTTTCCGCAAGCTCTGGGCGTTCACTGGTCCCGGTTTCCTGATGAGCATCGCTTATCTCGACCCCGGCAACATCGAGTCCGACCTGCAGTCCGGGGCCGTGGCCGGCTTCAAGGTGGGGCTGG